GGCCTCTTCACCAGCGTGTTGTTGGGGAATTGAGGCGCTCTTCCATCCTGATGGTCCTGCCACTGCTGCGTCCGTAATGGAAATAGAGCTGCTGACCGGGACAAGTGTTGGAGATCAGGCGAATAAAACGTACCCTGAATGAGGTCTTTGGATCACCAATGAACAGTCGAGTAAAAGTGGAATGCAGTCGAGTTAAATCGAAATGCCGAGAATTTAAAAGAAATCCCCCCTGGGAACAACGGGACGAGTGAGTGAGTGGGGGAGGGGCCCCTCCCATACACATAACTATAACAGTGATTTGCCAAGGGGGAGCTGAAGGTTAAGCATTGAAATCTGTGTTAAGAAATCAACCAGAGCATTTGGGTGAATTTCAGAGACTTTAACAAGTACTTAAAAAAGTAAACAATCCACAAACATGGCGTAGAAAAAACCAGAGAAAGACAAACAAGCAAAAGTGAAACCACTGGGGAGTATGAGCCCATGACCGGAAAATAGCACTGAGTTTTCTAAATTGTTAGCAGACTCTTTGTGCCCTCTACTGTACCAGATGACAAATATCAATCAACAGCTGACAGCTTTAAACCAGAATCTTGCAGCTCAGCACCTCCAATTGACTGAAACTACAAAAAGATGGAGCAAACAGCTGAGAAAGTGAAGGAAATGGATGCCAAATCTAAAAAGGTTAAGAAAAAGGTTCAAATGCTGGAAAAGAAGCAAGCTTCAGATGAACTCCAACTTTTGCAGCTACAAATGGAGAAAGCTAATTTAGTCTTTCGGTTCCAAGGGGTCCTGGAAGCAAAAGAGGAGAATCTAAAACAACTTTTGAGCGATGCGTTAGCTCCAGTTACAGATTTAAAAGCAGAATACCTTGTAAGCGAAATGGATGTGGTTTATAGAGCCTATTCCGTTTCTGTCAAGAAAAATAATCTGCCTGGAGAGATAGTGGTCAGATTCTCGAAGAGACATGTGAGGGATCAAATCCTGAAAGCAACTACGGGAACACCCTTGAAAATTGGAGGCAACACTATCAGGATTCTAAAAGACATTCCATTTGAAATAAGGAAGACGAGGAAGAAGTACAAAGACTTGATTCTGTTTTTGCAGACAAACAGCATTCCCTACAGATGGTTGACCCCCAAAGGCGTCATTTTCAAACTGCAGGATAAAAAAGAAAAAATTGACTCTGTTTCCAAAGTGCATGAGTTCCTGAGACTGCAACTGGGAGAGTCAGGTGAGGACGGCAAGGAAGAAGAAGACAGCAAACCTAGTGATGAAATGGACTCCACTACTTCCGATGAGGACTCTGCTTCCGAAAAGGGGGCGGCAGCCCCCAAACGAGAATACCAATTGAGGATAAAACAAAATGAAGGCTGAAGAACTCTGATCTGTGCCTTGAACTTTTTTCTTTTTTAACGATGCTCTTGTGATTTTCTTTAAACAGTTAAACTAATGGTTTTAAAGATAAATAATATGGCCTAATTGACTATTCAATGTAATTTTTGCATTTTAGACTTACACTGATACAAGCTTCTGTAATGATCTCCTATACTTGGTTTTTTAGTGGTTTTCTTTCCTTTCTCCCATAGATGTAGTTTCCCCTCCCTTTTTTTCATTGTAGTTTATAGAAAAATGCAATTAAAAATCCCCTACGGGGGATAAAAAACAAAACAAAAAAACAAACAGTTACCAGTGACCAAGAAAAACATTCTCAGTACTGCATGCCCAATGAGGAGGGCTTTACTAAACATGACAGAGATTTGAGGCTGGTTCATCAACATCTAGTGATGAATTGTGTATATAAATGGATAGGGCTGATGTCAGCATACGCTGAAGTGGGACAGCTGCCAGAGCCCAATGCTCCCTCTAAGCGGTGTAGTCTTGTGAGCAAAAATTCTACTTTGTGAGCTACTGACATTAAAGTTGTGAGCAATTTGGCTACTGCATAAATTAGTTTACTCTGGAGCCATCCTTCCTGTGCTAAGACAGAAGTGTGTGAGCCGGAGGTTGAAAAACTGTGAGCTAGCTCACACTAACTCAGCTTAGAGGGAACACTGCCAGAGCCCAGGGTTTCTGGCAGAGCCCATACTGCAGAGCCCCCCAACCACATGATGCCAGGAAAGGAGCTGCAGGTGGTGTACAATGGTGGCACTCCTGGTGGGCACAGTAGTGGTATCTGTGGTCAGTGAGGACAGACAGGGTGGGTGGCTGGAAAGATGGCATGAGTGGGGGTCCTGGTCAATGCTCCCCTTAAGCTGTGGAGCAAAAATTCTACTTTGTGAGCTAAAAAGGTAAAGGTAAAGGTTCCCTTGCTCGAAAGCCAGTCAAATCCAACTCTAGGGTTGCAGTGCTCATCTCCGTTCCAAAGCCGAAGAGCCAGCGCTGTCCGAAGATGTTTCCGTGGTCATGTGGCCGGCATGACCAAGGTGCACGGAACGCTGTTACCTTCCCACCGAAGCGGTACCTATTTATCTACTTGCAATTTCTTGCTTTCGAACTGCTAGGTTGGCAGGAGCTGGAACTAGAGACGGGAGCTCACTCCGTCATGCAGCAACTTGGGTCTCGAACTGCTGAACTACTGACCTTCCACAGCCTGCAGTTCAGTGGTCTTAACCACTTGAGCCACCACAGCTACTGGCATTAAAATTGTGTGCGAGTGATTTGGCTACTGGAGCCATCTTTCCTGAGCTAAGACAAAAATGTGTGAGCCAGAGGCTAAAAAACTGTGAGCTGGCTAACACTAACTCAGCTTAGAGAGAACACTGGGGCTCGTGGTGGTCAGAGGAAAGGGGGTCCATTGGCACTCTCTCACCAATACCCCCCAATACCTGGAACTGGCCCTGTTGTTCCAATACAGCTCTAACACTGTACAAAGCTCACGTGCATATCCCCTCAGACAGTTTTTTTTAAAAAAACTTGATTCATTTCACATGTTCAGCTGCCAGTATTACAGTATGGTGGGACTGTGTGGTGGTGTAAATGTGTAAAGCATTGGTCAGAGACCCAAAATATTTTGCAGTGGTTGATTTGAAAGGGTTTTCGAGTCCCATAGAGACTTTCATCTGTGCTCACTGATGAAGTTTGTGCCACATTAATGAATTGAGGACTCCCTATGCAGCAGTATATAGATAGTGCTCAGAATTGTTCAGAGATATGAAAGACTGAAACAGCCAGTAGACTTGTACAGGAGTGCAAAAGGGGGGGGGGCTACACCAGTATACAGAACAGTAAAAATGACAAGACAAAAAAAAATGGTGCAGTGAGTAAATAGGGATTTTTTTATTTGGAACATTTTAATGCCACTTTTCCACAGGCCACTTTTCCACATAAAAATATTAAAACATTTAAACAATTAAAATACAGTTAAAATATAGAATTAATTTAAAAACACATAAACAAACAACACTAGAAGGAGAGTCAGTAACCGTTATTGGGGGTATGCCAGATGAAATAAAATATATATAATTTGTTCTGCTTGATAATCCCTATACATTTTGCCTATACTTCATCAGGGGGATCTGTGAAATAGCGTTGACAGGCATTGTCAAGTTGAATAAATGATATTTTCCCCCTGCACTATCTTTTTTTTTTTTTTTGCTTTTTCTTGTTCTGATATGCTTCTACAGCCAATTGAAACTTTTTGTGATTGCTGAAGTCCCCCCCCCCCATTATTTCAATCTCAAAAACAGTCATTTCACACAATATGTTTGTCTATAGGAATATAGGCCTGGGAACTGTGTGAAACAGCCTGTGTGAAACAGCCCTTGGAAAATGTGCTGCAGAAATAAGAAGGAAGGAGGCCACATAGCGCAGCCATGGCACCATGAGAATTCCCTTGTAAGCTGCCATGCATTGTAATTTGAGACCTGGAGCAGGTTGGCAGTAGAGCCCCTCATGCTTTTCTAAGGAACAAGCTGCACATTAATGGGAGACCTGTGATCAGACTTCCCAGTATGTTTTTAAAGGTTTTTAAGCAGTTATGAAGGAAATGTTGGGATCAGGGTTACAGTCATGGGAGACAGAGGGAAGACGGCTTCAGCTATTTCCCTGACTGAAATCATCCCCCAAGCCCTTTTCAGTCATGTTTCAACAAGCATATGGGAAGAATGTGCTGCATGTGATCCTCCTGATATCCACATTCCCCAGGGGAAATGCAAGTATTTTCTGTGTTGTATGTACCCAGACTGAAAATATGGTGTCCTTTTCAAACAAAATAGTGGTTGTGCATATTGGGAAGATCGTACATAGCATGTTCTCCCATATGTGTGGTGAAATGCAACAACTGTAAAGACCTGCTCTGAGCCACAGCGGGGGGAAAGATGGGGTGTATTTTGGCTGTCTTTTTTCTCATGTGTGACTTAATAGCAGCTTCATTGGGGTGATTTCAACTGGCAGAATCAGCACCAAGGTAAAGGTTTAAACTCTTGTCAGCACCACCTCCCTAAGCCAGCTCTCCAGTTGAAGCCTTAATTCTTAATAGAGTGTGATTTGGCCCTAAGAGCCCTTCATACTTTCTATAGTGGTTGTGTTTGCCATTGCTACACCAGCATTGCTCTGGTGCTTCCTGTACCAAACAGAACAAGTGAGAATGGCAGACACGTGCACAGGTCAGGGATCCACAGCCAGTTTCAACACCACACCTACGTAAGGATTTGCCTCTGTTCTGTGCTTGCTGTGGAAAACAGCAGGATAAAAATAGAGTAGTTGTGGCCAACATGTGAAGTGGTCCAAGGTAACTGATCTGTTGACTAAGTCTTTGTGTTGGCCATTCTTTCTGTCCACCCAATGGGGAGATCTTAGGGAAGTTCTTCAAAAGAATATGCCTGATTGGAAAAGATTACTAAAACACTGACTCTCCTGTGCTTTCTCTTCTCCAGTTTGTGGCTGTGACCTAGCTCAGTCTGGTTTCTTCTTTAAAAATGGAGAGTATATCTGCACCCACGATTATCAACAGCTCTATGGCACCCGCTGTGACAGTTGCCAGGATTTCATCACTGGGGAGGTTATTTCAGCCTTGGGACGGACTTATCACCCCAAATGCTTTGTGTGCAGCATGTGCAGGTGAGTTGAATCTGTGATGGTATTCATTAGACAGTGGGAAGCAATGTGTGTCAGGTAGTGCTTAAACACACATTGGAGGAGGGTGCAGTGGTGGCACACTAGAACCACTGCACTATTCCATGAGTTCTTTCCCTTTCTTGCATTGTTTGTGTTGCAAGGTAAAGGGTGAACCAAGAGCACAGGGGTATTCCCATGTACTGTATATACATTCTTAGGCAATATCCATACTTTCTGGAGAATTATGACTTTCCCCTTACTACTATGTATTATATATGCACTTGACCCAGTTCTGCAGAAGCAGTGAGAAAACCAAGCATAATGTTTGTGCATTGTTTTTTAAACTGATTCTATACATTGCTCTATACATTTAAACTGATTCTATACGTTGCTCTGAGAATTTACATAAAAATGAAACTAATACATTTTGAGGGGGGGAAATGAAGTACCCTTGCTTGAGGTGGGAGAGACAGGCCATCTAGCAGAAAATTATTGATATAATACGACAGCATAATACCTAATGACATATTGATTTAACTCTCTATATATCCTTCATGACACACATACACACACAAAACCTAGTGAAGTGGTTGATCCAGCAAGCTTCTCCTCCCAGTTCAAGGCTTAAATAGGCTGGAAGGACAGCAACTTCATCTGCTTTGGAAGCAACATGCCTCATCTTGGCCCCTTTCAGATAGTCTTTGTAATCCATTTTAGTAGCAATGGATATTTTGGATGCTAATGGATATTTTGTGTCACTTCAGACACAACCATTTTAGCAACCAGCTGCTAACGCATTTTATTTACCTGTTCATACAAAGCTGCTTGCATCCTGTTGGCAAAGCAGGGCTGAGCCATTTTTGAGTTTTCATCTCTAAGAAGGGTTGCCACTTGCCAGGTCCAATTAATCTGCTGGTGGAGGGTGGGAGGGAGCCATCCAGGAGTGGGGCGACGACGGGGGGACGTAGGCACGTGTGACATCACCAGCACGATGACATCACACTAAAGTGACGTCATCACACCCGGGCATCGCACGGCAACTGGTACTGGAGGCAAAACTCTCTGGTTACCATAAGTTTTGTCCAAAATACCAGAGCATTGCTGCACGGCGTCCCTGGCATGATGATGTCACTTTCACATGATGACATTGTGCCAGCGACATCAGTGTGCAATTTTGCTGTTTGGGGGTGGGGCTTCCCCTGCCGACCAGCTGGCCAGCAGCAGGCTGGAGCCCCAGAAATCAGAGGAACCCCTGCCTGGACTGGGGGTCTGGCAAACCTACCTCTTAGTTGCATTTCTGAATTGCTGTGGTGTGCTGTTTAAAATGTCCGTAGCACTTCCTGCAATGCTGCTTTTCCCCCCATCTTTTTTTGCCGTGCGATCTTCCTCGCCCTTTTCCCACCCCAAATGTTCTACATTGAATGCTATAGCACTAAATCAATATAGCACTTCAGTGTTACTGAAGCACCTTTGAGATTCCTTAACTCCACTGAGAGACTATATTGATTTAGTGCTATAGTGTGCAGCTTAGAACGTTCGGGGGGGGGGGGGGGGACGCCCCCCCAAAAAAAAGCCCCCCCCCCTTTTCGGTAAAGAACAAAATTTCAGAGACAGCTCATTAATGGGATGAAGTTTGCTGTATGAAACCCCGTCCCTGTATCACTTTACTTGGAACTGGGCCAACAATGGATAACTTCTGGTTTAGAATGGTAATGTGAAAAGCGCCAGAGTCTAGGCTTAACTGGGGCCAGAATCCTGCAAAGGATTACATCATCCATCCTGATCTGGCCCAGGAGGTGAAGGATGGGCTGCAAGCCTGGCACTACACCTTTGCTGGGCTATCTCAGCACGAACCTTCTGCCTCTACTGCTCCTGCCGGGAAGAGGCAGACTCTGGTGGGCTTGTGGACCAAGTCCTGAACTGACACTTAGTTTCCCCAGGCCTTAGGGGGACAGAAGAAAATTCTGGCAGAGGAATTCCCTCTGCAGGTTTATCAGGGGCAAGTTCTGGAGCAGATGGAGCAGAGGCATTAACCCTGTTCTCCCCCAGACCATATTTCTGGGTCTTCACACTCTTCCTTGGAGTCCATTTCAGTAGGGGTCTTGACATCTGTAATGTACTCCGCCATTGCCACGTGTGTGACCGTTGGGCCATGCGGTCAAGCAAAGCCCTGAAGCTTCGCTCAGGGAGAACAATAGCCAAGCGGATCCTAGCCCGCACCTATCAGAGGGCCAGGTCCGCAGCCGAGAGCCTATGGGACTCTCGGCTACTGTAAATAGCCTATAGGAAGTAGAGGGTGGGTTTTGGTGGTGGGTTTTCTGGGCATATATACCGTCCTGCGAGCCGGCAGTCTTTGTCTGGTTCCTGCTGAATAAAAGTACTTTGCTGAAATCACTCCACGTTTCTTAGTACTTTTCAACATCTCTCTCTCTCATCTATCTAATGTAGCCATTGTAGGCCATGTATTATTATAGGGCAAGTCTATTGTTTTGGCAACCATAGGACTGGAGGTTTATTAGGGAAGCATTAAAATGAGAGATGGATGGAAGTGAATGACAGAAAGCCTAACCTTAATTCCTCTAGCAATATAACATGTCCACATTCATGCATGCCACCAACACCACTTAGTTGCATTAAGGAGTATATATGTAAGTTTGATTTTTAGAAGCAACCATTTTAAAACTATTAAAATTATATTGCTTAAACATTAATTAGAAACAGCCTCACGTATAGGGAGGGGGGATCTGCTCGACAGTAGCTCTCATTTCTTCCTTGGCTCTTAATAGCAGACTCTGCTGCTCATAATTGGCCTGATGGTTTAACTGTTTACAAAAATGCGTAAAAGGTAATGAAGTCCTTTATTGTTTAATAGTTAAAGATTAAACAGTTTATTAAAGAGTTTGTTCCACTCAGTCTGCAGCAGCCATAGCTCCATTACAGTTACTCTAAAGTATTTGTTTATCTAATAACTGTGCATATCAAAAGAAGCTGAGCCCATGGCTCGCATATTGTTTAATATCAGTTAGCATTGAGGCCAGGGGGAGTATGATTTTTTAAAATTGCCTTCAGCAATGGCATGATGTCACACTTCTCAAAGAATCACCAAAAACTCTGTAATAAAATCTAGATGCCTAGAAGGGACTGATATCACTCTCAGGGAGAACTCACAGTAAAATCAGTCCTTTCTTGGAATCGCTGAATGCAAGAGAGAAGCATGATGTAACCTCTGGGTTTTCCCAGAGGTAACATGAGCCTGTCACAGACAGCTCCCAACATTTGTTCACCCACTGGTTTCCAGGCCAGGTCTTGCATCCCTATGGGAAGCTCTATGGTTTACCATATCGAATATCTGGCCATCTGGAGAGAAGCATAATGTCATGTCAGGGTTTCCCCAGAGGTGATGTCATACCATCACAGACAGCTGCCCAATACTTGGTCTTGTGCTGGTGTCACAGCTCAGGTGGGGTGCCACCACTCTGGATTTAGGTTCCTTTGAGAAGGCCCAGAGCACCCTCCCAAGACCTTTAGACCTCCCTTTTGGCCGAATAACAGGCGTGAGGACCAGGCAGAGTGAAACAAGGAAAAGGTTTATTTTATAGGAGGTCAAACAACAAGGTGCAGAATAATAACAGTAAGTGGGTGAAAAGAAAAGAAATCAAATGCCCTAATGCGTATAAGTATATACTGTCCCTAGCTCACAATTACAAGTGACAATAGACTACTCACCCTTCCCTCAGGATGAGGGTTTCTTCCTGCAGCAGCCTTCCTTCTGGCTCTACCCTCTGGAAGAAAAAACAGCTTCTGCTCTGGCACCAGCCCTTTTGTTCCCCAGCCCTCTTCTTCCCTATTGGTCAATTTTGGCTCCAAAACCTCTCAGGGGCTTCTGGGAGTTGTAGGCCCAGCCTCACCTACTGCTAGCCAGGCTCCCTGGGCCTAGTAGGCCTCTGGTGGCACAGCCCAGATCATGACAGCCAGTTTCCAGGCCAGGTCTGGCAACCCTAGTTAGTACTGAAGAAAGCATGGTAGTATGTGACTCTGTTCTACTATTTATTCAGCAGTATAAAGGATAACAATGGAAGGCCAGTTCATATGTTGCTGGCAGTGTGAACATAGGGTTGTAGTGGCTAATGTCAAACTAGGACTTCGAAGAGAACAGTTTTCGAGTCCCACTTAGCCATGAAGCTCACTGGGTGAGCTTAGACCAGTCACATATATACTTCATGGAGGAGAGGGGAACTAGATATTTGAAGGGTACCTTAACTCCTTGGAAGGCAGTTGGAAATGAGAGAGAGAGAGAGAGAATATATGGAAGCTTCTGCAGTGTGGCTGTGTGGTGTATTCAGTGCAAGGCAAACTGTATGTGAATCACCCTATAGAAACACCATGTGAAGCTTCGTCCTGGGCTAGGATCCAAATCCCTCCAATCATATTGGTAGCCCAGGAAGAACCAGCCAATCAAGTACCAGCAAGCTCCCTGAGCGGGAACGTCCGTGATTGGTCTTTATGTGGACAACCTAATTGGTTGGTATTTATATAGTAGGCGTGGCTACATTAGCCGAGAGTTTAAAAGCAGAACAGCTGCAATGTAAGAGCTGTTCTGGCTATTCATGTTGATCCGTGTTGGAGTTGTGTTCCAGTTGTTGATTAAAGCTGAATCTTTGCTGAATCACTCTCCGACTATTCTGTTAAGCGAGCGACTTAACAAGCTGGTCCCATGAAGGTCTAGTAATGTTTGAAAGGTGATCACATGATCAAGCTGGCTGGCAACATGATTTACACTGCAGTGTCACCAGTATCAGGGATAGGGAGACACAGGCATGGAAAGTAATTGCATCATTGGCCCTGTCTACACAATCCTTTTTTTCAAACATTACTGGGAAAGTGTAGGAGCTGTTATGATGCCGCTAGAAATGTGAAACAGCCTCAAAGTGTCCCTGAGCATTAAAACTTGCCTATATGCGTCCATATTTTATATAACAGGAGTCCTCACACAATAGTTACTG